TTCCTGATTACTCTAGTGCAGCCCCTGCTCTGCTCACTCAGGGAACAGAAAACTACTCATCCAGTGACCGGTATATTTGCCCTCTACCAGACTCCTGTACCCGACTGGTCTGGGTCTGTCACACTACACTACGAAATTAGGTCAAATTTATAGAAGTTGATTTTTTAGAAATCAATTTTCTACAGTCGATTGTGTGTGTCCCCACTTAAGACCATTAAGACCATTAACTTGGCAGAGTGCGTCCACAGTACCAAGGCTAGCATTGACTTTCGGAGCGTTGCACTGTGGGTAGCTATCCCACAGTTCCCGCAGTCTCCACCGCCCATTGGAATTCTGCGTTGAGCTCCCAATGCCTGATGGGGCCAAAACTTTGTCGCGGATGGTTCTGGGTACATGTCGTCAGCTCCCCCACCCCCTCTGTGAAAGCAACGGCAGACAATCGTTTCATGGCTTTTTTCTGGGGTCCCGTCCACTGGACCTGCTCAGCCCGCTGCCTGCCTGGATGATCAGAACCCCAGGCAGGCAGTGGGCTGAGCGGGTCGGCAGATGGAGCCCTAGACCAGCAGCAGGGTGAGCGGCTCAGCCCGCTGCTGATCTGGGGCTCTGTCCACGGCTCCGGCCAGCTGGGGTCCCACTCAGCCGGCAGACATCAGTGAGGTCGATCAGGACAGACATGGCTATCCTCCTCTTAGAGCGCCGAATGGGAGAGACTCCAGGTCATTCTCTTCTTTAAGTTTCATCTCATGGAGATTCAGTCCTGCCTGGAATATCATGCGAGCTGGAGGCTTCTGCCTCAGGCTGCTCTCCCAGCTGGCATTACCACGTGGTCGCACCTACCCCAGCCTGCCCCTTACTCCCATGGCTCATGAAGCCTGGACAGTAGTAAGGAGCAGTTCTACTTGTGGACTGACAAATCCAGAATGAAGGACTGCACTCTATGGGCCACGTTGAGATTATTTCAGAGTCCTTTTTTACCCTATAAAAATCTTCATGAAAATTTTCCGCCGCCCCTAACAAAAATGTTAATTTATCAGAGCAGCTGAAAGGGTAAGGAACCTGGGACTATAACTGAGAGAGAGCTTCCATATTATTTAATTCATAATTGATATAATTCAAAGTAAAATTTCACAGCGCGGTCTGTTCTAAGACTAAAAATGCAGGAGAGGAGTCAGAAAAAGGAACGGTGACCTGTTTCTGCCTGGTTTCAAACCGTTGACATGTCATGTGTTAGGTGAATGTGATCACCACTACACTACAGGGCTTTCATGTGTTAGGTGAATGTGATAACCACTACACTATGGGGCTTCTCTTTTTTTGCTGCAGACTTTGCCGAATGCACAGGAAAGTTTTCTCTAGCTACAGAAGCTACCTAATGCAATGTCTATATCTATGGCTTTCCTGCTCACAAAGCGGTCATACCCCAGCTCAAGACTGACACAGTGACCTGGCTCGGGCAGGATTGCTAGCGAGGCATGATACTTTTGCCGTTAAGCAAACACACCAATTCTTTCCTGGCCTCTGCCACTGAATGCCTCCATGCATTACGCTGTGCCCTATCAGTGCGGGAGGACTACATGAGCTCAGAAAACATGTCATCGCGAGTGCGTTTTTTTCGACTTCTAATCTGCGATAACCTCAGGGACGGAGATGATAGGGGGAACATAGACACATTCTTGGGGGAATGCATGTCACCTGTGCTGCTGAGTGCTGCTGAGTTCGCCATGCTGGCCAAACAGGAAATGAAATTCAAAAGTTCCCGGGGCTTGTCTTGTATACCTGGCTAGTGCATCTGAGTTCAAAGTGCTGTCCAGAGCGGTCACAATGGAGCATTCTGGGATAGCTCCTGGAGGCCAATACCTTTGAATTGCATCCACACTACCCCAAATTCGACCCGGCGATGTCGATTTCAGCGCTAATCCCTTCATCAGGGGAGGAGTACAGAAATCGATTTTAAGAGCCCTTTAAGTCGAAAAGAACGGCTTCATCGTGTGGATGGGTGCAGGGTTAAATTGATGTAACGCTGCTAAATTTGACCTAAACTCATAGTGTAGACCAGGGCTAAGGCTTTGATGGTGGGTTATCTTTGATCCCATTGTGTTGAGTAAGATCTGGCAGGGCTGAGTATGGAGGCCTAAAGGACTGTGGGATTGGTTTGTGATCTGAAAAGGGAAATGCAAATATCTGTGTAGCTATCCCAGTGTTTCCCATGCTCCTCTCCATAGTATATGGGCTTTTCCACTCTCCAAATGATCCCTGAAGAATTGAGTTCTGGTCAGCTTTGCCGACTTAACCCCCCTCCCAAGTTAAGGGAACTTACGGATGGCCCCTACCAACCAAGAAATGGCCACAAAGTGGCAGCATTTCCAATGTAAACACAAAATACACAGTGAAAATAGCCCATGGACCCTTACTAAGGCGATTGGGAAAATGTCTGGGGGCTACAAGAATCATGACTGAGTCATTGTGCTTTATAGGTATTTGGTGGGATGTGACCGGATGGAGGTCGGTAACTTTACCCCCGATGTGTATTTGCCTCACTGCTGTTGCGTTGGGCATGGCTCAACACAAGCATGTGGGTCTTTTTGCTTCTGGAGATCAGCCTGTATCAGCTCTGCTTCAGTGAAAACTCTCTTCCCTCTCTGCAGTGCCGCAGTGTCCCTCTCCTCCAGCCATCGCCAATGGGAAGCCCAGCATCCAGGCCTCAGTAGTGTTCACCACTGGAACGTCTGTAAATTACAGCTGTGAGCCCGGCTACGCCCTAACTGGGCAGGCATCTATTTATTGTACGGCATCCGGAATATGGAGCCCTCCCCCTCCTCGGTGTAAAGGTGCGTTTATGTTCTGTTACCTGGAACTAAGAGGAAGAAGCTCCTACCACAGAATTTAACTCAAAAGACAAGGTCACTGGTTCAACAAATTTAACAGCAGGGAATTAACGCTCCATTTAATTAGAGACAGGGTGAAATAAATG